CGGCTTGACCGATCTTTATGAACTTTTATAATCAAGTTCAGTTTGATTGAGAATCGGCCTAACATCTATTTTTTTATATCCCTGAGTTTTAAGCATGGGCCGTTCTTAAGATTGTTTTCAATTTTTGGATCATTTTTTCTTATTTCATTTTTTTCATTCAATAAATTTTATAATCCAGGTTACTTTGATTGAGAATTGGCTAAGATCTATTTTTTATATCCTTAAGACTTTTTTTCGGTTTTTGGACCAATTTTTCATATTTTATTTTTTTTTATAATTCGTAATTAAAAAACTTAAATATATGCCTTAAATTTTCACCCTCTTGCTACGAACTCCAATTTCGTAAGTCATTTTAGTCATCTAAAAATAAGGGTTTTGATCATATTTTATACTTTTTTTTCATTGCTTTGTTAACTACATACTGCCCCAATTTTTAATCTTCTTCGCACAAATTCCTGTTTTGTTTACAATATATAGCACCATAGAAATTTTCTAGAATCTAGAAAATACTTTACATTACAATCATGGAAAAACGTTTTCGGGGTCATCTAGTATATATATAATATATATATATATATATATATATATATATATATATATATATATATATATATATATATATATATATATATATATATATATATATATATATATATATAATGGGCCATTATCTTTTATGTTTTAAATTAGCAAGTAACTTTTATGGCCCACATACAAATTACAAACCTCTGGTTGTGTGACGACCTTAAATTATTATTAGTAGCGTTTTTGTTCCAATGAGCGCTAGAATAATTTTTTACATTTCAACATTCTTATATAAGAATACGACGTAACAAATATTAAATTATGTTTAGTGTGACTTGATTTGTTAAACAATGTGATAGTGGAATTAAATAAATATTTACTTAGTTTGTGAAAATAGTGCAAATTTATTTAAAGGATTTTGCGGTGCGAGTTCTTGAAAAGGTTAATCAAATTTTAACTATATATAATATAAATTTTAACTAACACAAGGAATATTTAATTCTGTATATTTCAGTATTTCAGTCTGTAATATTATCTTATCATTGCAAATACAACTGAAGTAATTCAAAGAATTTTGCAGCGTACCAGAATATTATATTATATACAAAATAATCACATAATTACAACAATTATAAAGTGATGTAGTAACACAGTCATTTAATAACATAGCAATATTTGAAAATTGAGTCGTTTAACATTTTGTGTGATATTTAGGGTTTTTTACAAGCAGAAAGCTTTTATAGAAGCTTGGAAAGTCGCCATTTGATCGAGGCTAGCATTAATTATTTATTAATTAAAAAAATAAGTTTTAGTTCTATATTATAGTTATCAAAATATTGTTATACTTTACGTATCGAATTGAAGATCAACTATTGAATTGTATGCAACATTGCATGAATTTAGCACAATATCTTTTGTACACTGATAATTGTAAAATTTCTAATTTACCAAATATCTACTCAGTTGTAAAAATATAAAATATCTTATATACAAAAAGGTCATAATATTGATGACTTCTAATTTGCAAATAGCAAAAATGCCGGTGAAGGGCTATTTTCTTTTAGAAACATTTCCATCTATATTTCCAAGTGAAAAACCATGTCATTACTGCTTGACATGCGAATGCAATCAAATTACGAATTTGAATTAGTATTTATAACAAAATAAATCAATTGTGAATTAAGAATGTAACATTCTGATTATGTTCCATATCCAAGAAGTTATCCTCATTCAATTATTATGTTTGCAAATCACCATTTCTCTAAAAATTTTGATCTGAGATTTACTATTCTTGATCTGACGAGAAAATTTCATTTGTAGACAATATGAACGTTACTACCGAAATAAATATAGATATTTTTCGATCAGACAAACTATTTTACAGTGAGAACGCTATGTGGGCCAGAGTCTGGTGTTTATATATGTTATTTTGGCACTATACCAAGTCGGTTTTGGTTACATTCAAATTTTCATTCTTTTTTATGCAACAATAAAATTTATTCTTTACTTTTTATTTTTTGTACTTCTATATTTTACTAAACATGTTTCTTCTTACACTGTTTGAGCTTATATACACATAATCTTTAAATTTAAAATTTTTATACTGGATATAATGATTTATTTTTTTAGTTCAAACTTAAATATGTACTTTCAATGAACTTAAATGCATATTAAAATGTGTTTGTGATTTGTATTGCTAATGAGTTATTCCTTACGAAGGCCGTAATACTGTAATTAATTTGTTAATCAACTCATAGATGATACTGTATTTATTTAATTTCTAACATTACTATAATTTGTAGGTTATTTAAATTTCTATTTAAAATTATACTTTGTGAAGCCTAAACTATTTTGTTTGTACCAATTTATATCATAAGAATTATTTCACGTGGTTTGCTCGGATATTTAGCATTTTTTAATTTATCATACATTTGTTGATTTTATCTGAATGTTATGGATTCAATGGAATGAACATAAAAACAAATTTTTCAGTGTTTGTTCAAAAAAATTCTTCGATCGTGTATCATGTATAATATAACATCAATAATCATCAAGTTTGAACATATATTGAGCTTCCTTATTCATAACTTTTTTTCAGTCTTTACAAAAGGATATTATTACAAAAGAAAGTTATTATAGAATTTTGTACAAGGGAAATTATGATGTTGCTAGTATAGGGGTTCGAAAAATAAAACGTATTATGGCTGGTACCAGTATAAATTTTGATAAATGCTTGCATTTTTGACATTTATGAAGTTATTCTAAGAGTTATCTATAATAAGAGCTTTATGCCGTAATAAAATCCACCCTATACATATTTTTTAATTCTCTGAAATGGTCCTTTTGTACATGTGGATTATTTAGCCTAAAATTATAGTAATTCATCAGTTACTCCTTATTTATGTATTAAATAAAAATACTTTTTTATACTTTTTGAACATCTCTATATATATATATATATATATATATATATATATATATATATATATATGACTACAGCCTCGGGCTCTGTCACATAAACTACGTTCTCTGTGCAAAATATATTATATATTTCACAAATATTTTGCTATACTCTGTTCAACAAATTAATATAAAAAAAACAAGTTAATGTATATATGATAGTGCAAAATTGTGTTCCTTGCACTAGCTACTGATGTAAGACCATATTTATATCCACTGATGATGACATAAAATACTATGTCGAAACGTTTGGAAAAATTAAAGATTAACTTCTAAATCTTTGCCTTTTATTTGATGTATGCCCTTGAAGAACTTACTCATATATATATATATATATATATATATATATATATATATATATATTAATTTAGAAATATGGACAAACAATACTCTTTTTTGCACTAATTTATTAAATAATAATTTTACAAACGTTTCGAGACTAGGTTAGTCTCATCATCAGTGTGTTATAATTTAAAATCTAAAACAAGGAAATCTAAATTAGCATTATGTGTTATCCGTTACAAGTCCTTTTACAGTAAAAGGAAAGGAACACATAATGCTAATTTAGATTTCCATATTTTAGATTTTAAATTATAACACACTGATGAGACAAACAGTCTCGAAACGTTTGTAAAATTATTATTTAATAAATTAGTGCAAAAAGATTGTTATTTGTTCATATTTCTAAATTAATAGCTATCCACTCAGAATACATTTGTTATTTATATATATATATATATATATATATATATATATATTAGGGTGGTCCTTAATATGGATGTTTTTGAATTTCTTTGCTCCCAGTGGCTCAAATGCTTCCAAATTGATAAAAAAAACTCTGAAAGTTTTAAGTCTTAATATTAACTTTAAGATAGTTAAGATAGCTTTGAAGATATATTCGTCAAAATATTAATAAAGTAATTTGATAATATGCATTGAACTTCAGTTGCTTCAGAACTAAAAATTGGCAAAGACGAATTTTTTTAAAATTATGTAACTTATATGAACCTACTAAACGTTATAATTCAAGGCTTATAGATTATAAAAATAGAATAAAATCAATATAATATTATCGAATTTGATATAAATTGAACATACCAAAATCATCAGAAAATTATGCACTAAATGCTCTCTATTTAATTTAATAAAGATGAGATAAGAAGTATAGAAAAAGGATTATATGAAGAAGAAGATAGTATGAAATTGAAGATTGTATAGAATAATGTAGGTGGCTAAATAAATGCTCGAGTAAGCGAGGCCAATAAAATAATAAATAAAAAAAAATATTTGTTTAAAATGCAATTTTTAAATGACAATGTAAGGGAAACTATGGTGACACAGTTGACTGTCTTACGTTTTTTAATAATAATATTTTTAAGAGATACCTTTAAGTATCAAAGTAAACATTTCACATTGCTACTGAATTAAGAAAACGGAAATATATTGTTTATAAATTTCTAACCATGGTAAAAATAAGGTGATGTGAATGGAAATGGAAACCCCAAAATTATCTTCTTATTTTACATCCTCCGCGTTTTAAGTTATAAGTGTATATGATGAACGTAAGTGTATGTAAAGTATGTATGTACAAATAAATGTATGTATAAATGAGTGTATATTAAATATATATTATATATATATATATATGTGTGTGTATATGTGTATGTGCGTGTGTACGTCGTATTATTTATAAGACAAAGTCTAGACTTAAATTACTTTCGTTCATTAACATTTTCTTACTTTTTTATTTACTTTAGAGTTTTTAAATAATTTAATTTTCCTAATTAAAAATATGGACCAATGTCAATATAGTTTTTGTGTACTCAATAAATTTACTTTCATTCGTTTTTCGTTTACATTATTTCATTTCTTCAGCCACATATATATTGTATCCGTTCAGTTGTTTCATGTAGTTTTTCGTAACATATATGCATTTATATTATTCATTGGTGTAATGCTATGTATTTCATTGTTTGAAGGGTTTGTTCTAACATATATTTGTGTATTTTTTTCAGCAGTTATAAAATAAATTTGAATCATGTTCGTGGACGATCCAGCCAAGTGAGTTCTTTTCATTTTTTCATATATTCATGTATTTGCATGTTCATAAATTGTTTTCATTCACGTGACGGTTTCATTGTCTTGCAAAGTGTATGTTTGATTCAATCTTAAAAGCATTGTCTTCTGGCGAATGAAATTTTGTTATGTCAGCTTTTTCGCCACAAAAATTGATAATCGAATCGTCACAATGTATGCATTATTTATAAGACACACATTTTGCTTTTGTAGAATAATATTGAAATTGCGAACAATGTCGGTATTGCAAACAGTTTGTAATGATTTTCCTGTCTGATCCACATTGAGAAATGGAATTCAGTCTTTGTACATAATTTGCTATGAAAAGATATAGCACGTTTGATACATTGCTTGGAATAATATACATCATACAAACTATATAAATATATGCTAAAATAAGTGAAAATTAAGTGCAATTATAAAAATATAATAGTTTTACACGATCAAGTTTTAGCCTGGTTTGAAATACGCTTGGTAGAATTGATGTTGTTCAAATATAGTGTTAATTGCATGGCTTACATTCGAAATTATATAAACAATTGATTAGTATAGTACATAATAGCAATCACAACAGTTTTGTTGTGTGTTCGCAAACTGTACACTACAACTTTTTCTGAGAAACTTTTTGCAATAGAATAAGAGCCAAAGTAAACATTTCTTGTTAAATATCAATGGCCGTTGAGAGTTTCAATTTTTTCGATTGAAACAATTTTAATTTTTTTATAAAGTGTCTCTCCTTTTGTCTCATAATTATCATTGCATTACACGTAGAACAGATTAACACCTGCATTTTTATTTTGATAAAATTGTTACAGAAACTATAGTAGTAGTAGCTAAATTCAAGACTGTGACTTTTTATGAAGGTTGATGTAATCTCTATTTTTCGAAAATACTTACGAATTTATCTTTTTAGTTTTTATTTTTACTGAATCTATGAGAATTAGTAATAGAAATTATATGATTACCAATAAAATCGAAATTTCAACTAGGCATCGCTTGTGCTTCCAGCTGCACATAATTTAGATAAATTTATTTGCATGCATATGCGTTGTTATTAGTATTAATATTGATTAGGAGCGCGACCTAAATTATGATTAAGTAATTTTTTCTCAATTTTGAAAAAGTTTTATTCAAACAATAGTACATACAAATGTCGGAAACAATCCTTGTTCCTTTATATGTTGTACCTAATTGTTTTTTATGCATGTACATCTAAGCACATAAGTTTTTGTTTGTCATTGTACTTTCGAATATTAGATGAAACGTATGAACATAAAAAAATTTATGAATACTTACTCTACCTACTTCATATTTACATCTCAACTTATAATAAAGTTTCAAAAAGAGTGCACTGTGGTGAGTGGTATGTGCACTCTAAAACAAAAGAAATAAATTTATGTTGTATCGTTAGAATTACTGACTTTAATATGTTTGGTATCAACGAATGATATAATATATTTTATATTAAATATTATTTTAATATACAAGATTATCAAAATATACGTAGAAAAGTCCAAGATCTTTTAAACATATTACTGCTACCTAATATAGTTTTTGTTAATGCTTTACAATTGTATGTAATTTGATATACAATGCAGAATTTATATAATTAAATTAGGTACATATTTACATATTTATTCAAAAGGCAAATAAGCAGTTTACCTTTATTTCAATGAATTGTATTTCAATGAATGTACAGGTATTATGAATGAAGTGCATATAGTCTTTAAACTAAATACTTCGGGATCATGTTTATAAATCTTATGTGTTTCTATTTACGAGTAAGGTTTCTGATTTCAGATCCAAAGTTCAAACATTCAAACGATTAGATAGAATAGGAAGGCTTTTTTATCTTATTGAGATAATTAAACACTTATGATAAGGCAACCTGGATACTCATCTGAAATAGTGACCATTTCAGTAGGTAGTCAGTGATATGAGTGATTAGTGATTTTTATATTGCGTGCGTTATTTTTGGAAATAGTTATATAATGGTCAAGTATGTTACACATTTAATATATTTGCAATTGCTAGACGATATCAAAGTAAAAAATCGAGCCTTATTTTCATAATATTTATATCAAAAATTTGAAAATATGGGTTTAAAGAGAATATCACGCTTTTGGCATATAATTTTACATTATTTTTAGTGCTATTATGAAAATCGAACTTCCAACAAATTGAAATTGTGCGACAAAATAAAAAAGTGTTGTTTTTCAATTTTATTTTTTAAATCGTTATTTTCAATTCGTTTTTTGGTGATTTTTTCTTACTTTTGCTATCTCATTTTTTTCAGATTTTCATATCAGATTTCATTTATCATTTTAGTTGTGACTTCAGTTAAGCTAATACATAATTCTGAATAAAATTCTCTATTTGCTTTTTTTTTAAATAAAGATGAAATGTGTGTAATTTTTCGATTAGTTTTTTATACTTTTGAGACTTGCTTCAATTTCGTCAATTTATTGAAAGATAATTTCAATAGCAATTACAAACACGTATTATTTTACCGTTTTTGATTAAAAAATCAAGCTGCTTACGATAAAATTGCTTGCATGTAAATGGTTATGAAAATTTATTTGCTAAATATAAATTTGTAGTTACTATTATATAAAATGAATGAACGTATACTTATTATGTCTTTCGTGACTGTATCGGATGGTTGAATTTACTATTACCTTCAATTGCAATTACAGCAGTTAAATTTGCTGATTAAAATATTTTCGTTTTCATTTAATCAAATTCCACGATTTTATAACTCTTGTTTGTTTCAATCACAGACCTATGGGCTACGCTTGCCAAATAAAAATTTAAAATGTGTAGATCGAGTAATCTTAAAGCTTTTACTTTTAATTAATTTATAATTTATTAAAAAAAAGTCTTTTTGTGCGCAAAAATTTTACTATTTCTGTAAGTTTCTGTAAGATTTTCGTATAACTGCGCAGAAATCGATGCACTAACGCTATGCTGCAAAAAGTTTAAATTCTTAAAAGTTCGTACATCTTTGAAACATTGTAAACAAATATATGAGATCTAAATATGTAATTGCCAAAATAATTTTAGTAATAATATTAATAAAACAAATATAATATAATTTAATGCATATGCACATGTTATATATTAAAGCTGATATTTTAAGTTATTTCCAATTAATATCGCCGCTCGCCGTATACGTGAAAACATATTGAATATTTATTTCTAATGATTGTGTTTATGCAGAATTTAATCTAATCAATGTTTAAAGTTGCCAGGTTTTTCATATTAATGAGCATTCTTATCTTTACCAATTAAATAAACGTCGCAGCAATTGCTAATGTAACATTTAAATTTATTTTCCTTTACTGATATTTAATAGTATTAAATAATAACGTTAATTGCTATAGCTATTATATGTATATTTTTAAACAAAATGGAATAATGGCAGAGAAGTTGATATTTAATTATAAATTGAGAGAAGTTGACACTCAATTTAATTGATTAAACTTATTGTATATTGTATTTATTCTACAATAATGCTAAATTCACTATACATTTTGCTTGATTACAAACATTAATGATGTGACAAACAATTTTTATTTTTGTAATTTTATTTGCACAAAAATAGCAAATGCATAATAATTGGTTGTCTAAGAATGTTAGAACGACAATAACACTTTTCAGCCCGATTACGTTATGATATTCTACTAAGATTTAACGCTTGTTTACTTAAAACTAACAAATTATTAAATTAGTACTCATGCGCAATTCTTGAGTATTTTGTCTCTTTAAAAATCTGCTAATTAGAGGCACATCGTTATTGCTCTCAAAGCTAATATTACTAAATGTCTGTCTCATGACTAAGAAATCATCGTAATGTCAAATTAATCAAACATATGTTTTATGAATTTTAGCATGGACTCCGTGTGGGTGTCTTCCGCCATGGGTGCCCTCAAGGCATTGGCACTGGTTTGTGATATAATAACATTTCCAGTATATTTGGTTCTTCAACAACCATGGAAACAAAGGCAACTCGCCAAAAGGCCAAAGGTAAACGAAAGGGAGAAATAATATTAACTTGTTAGTAGTATACGCCATAGGTTCCAAACTTTTTTGTGACGTG